GAAAAGGAGAATCGAGAGAAGGTACAACAGGTGGGTATATGTCAAAAGGGAGAGGATAAGGAAAGGCTAGAAAGTGAGGGAGAGAACAAGGGACGGAAAGAAGAGTGGAAACGAGGGAGACCGAAGCAGAGAGGAGACGCGGAACGGAGAAAGTAAAAAGAATATGACGTAAGAAAAGGGGAAGAAAAAATCTCCCTCCCCATCCCTCCTCTTCGCCTCCCGCCCCGCTTCCTCGGTCCCTCCCCCCCTGAACTTCCCTGAACCTTCCCTGAACCTTCCCGGACCCTTCCTGCAGGGCGGGCACACGAACCTGCACTGCGACGTCTCGGACGCGGTCAACGTGATGGTGGACGTGTACGAGGGCGACGACGGCGACGACTCCGAGGATGAGACCGACGAGGCGAGAGCGGCGCCGAGAGCTGGGGAAGAGAGCCTCATGAGTCCTTGGCTGCTGACGGGGCTGGTGAAAGAGGAGTAGGCGAGCTTGGCCGACGCCGAGTTGGGCAGCCTCTCCTGCCAGCACGGCGCCGTCGGGGGCATCTTCCGCTGGCGGGGCTGTGAACAGCGTCTCTTCACGCCTCTAGCTGTGAACAGGCGCCATCTGGGACATCTACCGCTGGCAGGACACCGAGGCGATCCTGCAGCTGCTGCACGCGGTGGCGCGCGAGCGCGACGTCGAGATCACGAGCAACCCGATCCACGACCAGCTCTTCTACCTCGACGACACGCTGCGCAAGCGGCTGCGAGACCAGTACAAGGTGCGCGGCTGGCGCTTCGTGCAGCGACGCGGAGACGCCGTCTTCATCCCGGCGGGCTGCCCGCACCAAGTGCGCAACCTCTCGTCGTGCGTCAAGGTGGCGCTCGACTTTGTGTCGCCCGAGAATGCGCACCGGTGCGTCCACCTGACGGACGAGTTTGCAAAGCTGCCGCGCGGCCACCACCTCTCCGAGGACAAGCTGCAGGTCAAGACGATGCTGCTGCACACGATGAAGCACCTCACCGAGGCGCTCATGCCGCGCAGGCAGCCGGCGGAGGCGGAGGGGGCGGAGGGGGGCGAGGCGGGGGAGGGGGGGGAAGGAGCACCGCCCGCGCCGCCGCCGGGCGCTAGCAACGGCACGTAGCCCGCATGCAGCCAACTGACGTGTGAATACTACGTAGTCGTCGAGTTATATTCGTAGATGCATCGAGGTGTCGAGGCCAGGGCTCAGGTCACTTGTCTTCCTTGCACCTTGGGGCAAGGTGGGAGACGAGATTGCCCGAGATCAGGCGAGGCCAGGCGAGATAAGTCTGCAATCCGTCGATAGAGACTTACTTTGTCTTTGAAAGGTCGGCGTCGGGCGGGGTCAGGGAAGCCGAGATTGCGCGAGATCACAGGCGAGAATTAGGTCAGCCGAGGACCTCCGCCCGAGATAGTCCGAGATCGACCGACGGAGGTCGAGAGATAAAGGGATGTCCAGTGTCTAGTCGTGGAGTGACTGCAGCCAAGAGGTGCCGAGATCGGGTAAGGCTAGGAAGGTGGACACCCTCCCGTCCTCGGAATAATCCTCGTCCGACACGGAATCCGTGGCACATGTGACATGTGCATGTGCATGCACATGTCAACCCGGTGTCTGCCTCCTGCTTCGCGGCGCGGTTGGACTCTGTGTGTAGGAGGGAGATGGTCATCAAGCGCTCGTCTGCTGCGCGGCGGTCGACCGCGAATCCTTCGCGACTATCTCCTTCAAAACATGCATGGCGGGGCGATGCATTCATTCAGAACGAATACCAACCACGCGCACGCATCCACTGTCTAGTTTCTGCTCTAAGCCAACGAACGATCTTATATTTGCTACTAATCTAATTAGAGACGATCGAGGGGTCCCGTACCATGCGGAACCGACCCTATCCAGTGCTCAAGTGCTCAAGATCCTTCGGTCCAAATTACAAAAAAACGCCCCTCAAACATCCTCTTTGCTGTTAGTCAATAGGAGATTGCCTCGCGGGACGTACGAACTGACAGGATCTAGTTATCGCGGGTCGGCGACACACAAAATTTGTGGCCTGCTGCCGCACGCCGTCCGAGTCAGAGAGAGCGGCCGCTACCCGAATCGGCGCCGCGCCAAGCTCGAGCCCGGCCGGCGTGCGAATGGAGGCGGTCCATGCCCCGCGGCTGGGCAAAGCCGCCGCGCTCGCCGTCCGAGTCAGCGCCACGGCGGCGTGCGGCAGCTCCCACTGTCGCAGGTCGGCGCCGAGCCGCGCGGGCACGGAAGCGGAGAGAGTGCTCCCGCTCCGGAGACCCGACCAGCTCTGCGCCTCCGACGGGTGTTGCCGAGGGCGTAGCTCCTGCTCACCACGCCACGCCTTGCTTCTTTCTTTGGGGGGGTGGGTGGGGGTGGGGGGGTCGGGGGGGGGCACGTCACATGAACCTTTTTCCATGCAATGAACAAACACTTTAGAGTTGTTTGGTATTGTAAAAATGTGTGTGAATAAAATCTCTCTCTCTCTCTGCAACTCTCTCTCCCCCCCGCAATGATTCATGTTCTTAAATTCTTTTTCTTGCACCTCTTCTCTCCTCTTCCCTCTTCGGGCGCCCCAAAATTCTCTCTCTCTCTCCCAAAATAAAAAAGAATTTTCCAATCAAACTCTATCTATAAAAAAGAATCCCCGCGCGTTGACAAGCAAGGGTCGGGTGGGGTGGGGGTGTCGTCGTCTGTCGAGGGAGGGCTTCAACCTTGGTTTGGCTGGCCACGGGCACGCCGTAAAAAAAGAAAAAAAGAAAAAACAACCCAAGGGAGGGATGGGAATGACGCCGTGGTGCGAATGGTGAACGGTTGTTTTTCTTCCGTGTGCCGGTGATAGTACTAGCACGCGCCAGTTCGCACCTGTGTCGAGCCTGTGTGCTGTGAGAAGAGTTGTTTTCTCGGGTTACACCAATCCTCGCTACCCAACGCGGCCAAAGGATATCCACCTCGAGAACCTCGAGAACCTCGAGTTGTTTTGTTTAAATTCTTCCCAGACCGGCGGACTCTCTCAGCAGCTCGCGAAAGCGCTAATGCTGCCTGGTGGCCGCCGCTGAAGCGGGTGCGTGTCTACCTCGACCCACGTGCCCCGGCCGCGGCCGGTGCCTCGGCGCACAGCGCCGCGGGCCGCTCGGGCCGCGCCGAGGACAGCGCCGACGCCCGCCGCTGCCGCTCGCCTGCGCAGCGCCGCCGCTGCCCTGCGGCACTGCCGCCCATCGCCCGGCCCTCACCGTGCCACCGCACACTCGGATCGCGTCCGACGCCGCCCGCGCCTCTTCCCATAAGGGGGGGGGCGGCCGGCGACCGTTTCGCCGGCGGCTGCGGGGTGAGCGGTGTCGGGCGCTGCGGAGAGCGCGTTGCTGGGAGGTGCGGCCGGAGGCGGGTCGGCCGGGGTGTGCGCGTCGTGGATGCGACACCACCGGTGCGCGAGCCGATCGCCGACACCACCGGTGCGCGCCGCCGCCCCGCCGCCGCCGCCGCCTCCTCCTTCCCTCCGCCACCCTCGCCACCACCACCGCCACCGACACATTGCCACCGCTCCCCCCCCCCCCCCCCGACCCCAGGCCCCCCCCCCCTTTCACTCATACCTTCATTCCAGTCACTCGTTTCATTCCAGTCACTCTTTTCACTCCATTCACTCTTTTCACTCCATTCACTCGGTTCACTCGTTTCACTCTTTTCACTCTTTTCACTCCGTTCACTCCGTTCACTCTTTACTTTTCACTCCATTCACTCGTTTCACTCTTTTCACTCCGTTCACTCCGTTCACTCCGTTCTTCGATCATAGGTCGTCGGCCTCACCCCCGCGCCCCACCGCCCACTAGCGAGGCCGCAGCACGCCCCGCAGCGCGCGGCAGCGCGGCCGCCGCCGCCGCCCCGCCGGCCGCGCCCGACCAAGCCCAAGCCGCCGCGCATCTCGTGGCGCGACCTGGGGGGGGAGGAGGCGGAGGAGGCGCCCGCGGCGGCGCACGAGCACGTGTACGCGCGCGCCGTCAAGTCTCGGCCACGCGACGTTGGCGAGGCGAGCGAGAGTCCCCGAGAGAGCACCCGAGAGAGTACCCGAGAGAGTACCCGAGAGAGTACCCGAGAGAGTCCCCGAGAGAGGTTCCCGAGAGAGCACCCGAGAGAGTACCCGAGAGATTACCCGAGAGCACCTCTTCGCCCTCCAGTAATCTCGACCGCACGTAGCACCACGTGAGCAGTCGTTCTGATGCGAGAGCACCAGCCGCCTCTGAGAGGCATCAGTAGCTCTCGCGTACTCTTTGGTGATCTCGCTTCATCTCAGGTGGTGGAGATATGGGGAGATATGGGGAGATATGATCTCGCTTCATCTCAGGAGGTGGAGATATGGGGAGATATGGGGAGATACGATCTCGCTTCATCTCAGGTGGTGGAGAGATGGGGAGATATGGGGAGATACGATCTCGCTTCATCTCAGGTGGTGGAGAGATGGGGAGATATGGGGAGATACGATCTCGCTTCATCTCAGGTGGTGGAGATATGGGGAGATATGGGGAGATATGGGGAGATACGATCTCGCTTCATCTCAGGTGGTGGAGATATGGGGAGATATGGGGAGATACGATCTCGCTTCATCTCAGGTGGTGGAGATATGGGGAGATATGGGGAGATACGATCTCGCTTCATCTCAGGTGGTGGAGAGGGTCGAGTACCTCCTCGCGCTCCACCCGCCCGAGGACCACGCCGACCAGCTCGCGTCCGCACACGCACACGCCCCGCCGCTCGCCGCGCTGCACGCCGCGCCCGAGGGGGCCGGAGGCACGCGCGCCGCCGCCGCCGCCGCCGCCGCGCCGGCGTTCGGGGGCGAGGCGCTGCGCATGTCGTACACGCTGCGGTCTGCAGGGGGGCGGGGCGGCGGCACGGCCGCCGAGCTGGCCGAGTTCCAGGCGCGGGGAGATTTGGGGGGGATCTGGGGAGATCTGGGGAGATAGTGCCCACCCTCCAGGTGATACGGGGAGATATGGGGAGGTGAAAGGGAGTGCCCACTCCCCCTCTCCCTCTCTCTCTCTCTCTGCTAGTGAGGTGTCCGTGTTTGACGTCTCCACCTCTCTCCAGGCGCGCTGGCGGCGGGGCGAGCCGGTGGTGGTTGGGTCGCTCGACCGCGAGTTTGAGCTGCCGTGGGGCCCGCACGGCTTCCTGGAGCGGTTCGGCGCGGAGCAGGTCAACATGATTGACTGCCGCGACGGCAAGTCGGTGCACTGGCTGACGCTGGCGCACTTCTTCGCCGGCTACACCAAGCCGTGGACGCGCGCAAAGTGCCCCGACACCTTTCGCCGCATGATGCTCAAGCTCAAGGACTGGCCCCCAAACACCGACTTCCGCGACAAGATGCCAGAGTACTTTGACGACCTGATGGAGGCGCTCCCCTTCCCGCAGTACACGCACCGCGACGGGGTGCTCAACCTCGCGCGCCACTTCCCGCCCGACTGCGTGCCGCCCGACCTCGGCCCGAAGATGTACAACGGCTTTGGGCAGAAGCACGCGTGGCGGGGGATGGACCCGGCCGTCGCCAAGGTCGGCACAACCCACTCTCTCCGCCACGCTCCCTCGCTCCCTCCGCTCCCCTCCCCTCCCCCCCCGCCCCTTCCCGTCCCTTCCCCGCCCTCCCCTTCCCTCCCCTCCCCCTCCCTCTCCTCCCCATCCCTCCTCTTCGCCTCCCGCCCCGCTTCCTCGGTCCCTCCCCCCCTGAACTTCCCTGAACCTTCCCTGAACCTTCCCGGACCCTGCCTGCAGGGCGGGCACACGAACCTGCACTGCGACGTCTCGGACGCGGTCAACGTGATGGTGGACGTGTACGAGGGCGACGACGGCGACGACTCCGAGGATGAGACCGACGAGGCGAGAGCGGCGCCGAGAGCTGGGGAAGAGAGCCTCATGAGTCCTTGGCTGCTGACGGGGCTGGTGAAAGAGGAGTAGGCGAGCTTGGCCGACGCCGAGTTGGGCAGCCTCTCCTGCCAGCACGGCGCCGTCGGGGGCATCTTCCGCTGGCGGGGCTGTGAACAGCGTCTCTTCACGCCTCTAGCTGTGAACAGGTGCCATCTGGGACATCTACCGCTGGCAGGACACCGAGGCGATCCTGCAGCTGCTGCACGCGGTGGCGCGCGAGCGCGACGTCGAGATCACGAGCAACCCGATCCACGACCAGCTCTTCTACCTCGACGACACGCTGCGCAAGCGGCTGCGAGACCAGTACAAGGTGCGCGGCTGGCGCTTCGTGCAGCGACGCGGAGACGCCGTCTTCATCCCGGCGGGCTGCCCGCACCAAGTGCGCAACCTCTCGTCGTGCGTCAAGGTGGCGCTCGACTTTGTGTCGCCCGAGAATGCGCACCGGTGCGTCCACCTGACGGACGAGTTTGCAAAGCTGCCGCGCGGCCACCACCTCTCCGAGGACAAGCTGCAGGTCAAGACGATGCTGCTGCACACGATGAAGCACCTCACCGAGGCGCTCATGCCGCGCAGGCAGCCGGCGGAGGCGGAGGGGGCGGAGGGGGGCGAGGCGGGGGAGGGGGGAGAAGGAGCACCGCTCGCGCCGCCGCCGGGCGCTAGCAACGGCACGTAGCCCGCATGCAGCCAACTGACGTGTAGGGCGGGCTCTCCTCCCGCCCCGACCGCTCTTCAGCAACCGGTCGGGGTTCACATCTTTTTTGGTATATACACGAGGTTTATTGCACAATGGCTAGTTCCATTTCACTCTGACACGCTAATCTTGAAAAAATGATAAACGTCCAACGGAGCTCCGTGTTGCTCCCAGCGCCCTCCCACGCGCGGTTCCTGCGGCCACATGGCCGATGGTACTAGCATGGGAGGTCATCTGGCTACCGCGAGAGCGACCCAACTCGTCGACATCGTACGATGATGGTGCCTCAAAGTCAGCCTTCGGAGGCCGCGCTGTGTCCGCGCGCTGTGTCTCTGTGCGGTGTGCTGTGGGGCAACTTGCTGCGAGGAGCCCGGAGCGCGCGGAGGAGTGTCGCGTGTCACATCCGGGTCTTTCGCGCGTGCGGGTGCGTCGGCGCGCTCGGCGGCGTGTTGACGCCCGCAACACGGAGGATCTCGTCGAAGAGCGCCTCTGCCTGCTCCTCGAAATCGGCATCCTCCGCGAAGTTGGCCTTGAAGAGTGTACCGCCGAGCTCCATGCCAACCTGCCCCTTCCAATTGCCTGGCATGAGGCAGTCGGGCTCCATGGGCACGGGCACCATCTTGGTGGCGGACTTCCGCTGAGTAGCGTACTTAAACTCCTTCTTGCAGTTGTCGTTCGGATTCTTTGACGCCACCTTGTCGAGATATGCCTTGGACACGAAGACCACGATGGCAGCCGAGTCGTCGATGCCCTCGCACATCTTGTCGGCGATCTCGCCCTCCATCCGGTCGCCGTCAAACCACGTCACCATGCCGCGCGCCTTGAGGTGGTCGTTGATCCGCGAGACGCGCGCATGCGTGTCGCGGCCCTTGCCATCCTTGACCCACGAGTGGGTCAGGAAGGCGTGGTAAAGACAGCCGTCGGGCAGCGGTAGCTGCGGCACTGTGACGCGGGGCGGTGGCGAGGACAATGGCGCCATCTTGTTGCCATGCACCGATGCCGCGGACTTGGCGGGCGCACCGTACTTGCCCAGCTTGAGCTGACACTGCTGGCAGATCCAGAAGTCGCACTGCGCACATGCATCAACAAATGCGCCACCGCGAACCCCCGCATGGCAGACGTCGCAGATGCCATCTCCCCGGACGCGACCCGTCATCATGCCATGGCCGTTCGGGCACACTCCGCACGCATTGTCGTTGTGCTTAGTCTGACCCTCCGAAAGAAAGCTCACTCCGAGGACAGGCGGCTCATTCCAGCACGCCAGAAGCTTGTGCAAGAGGTCCTTCTTTCCCATGCCCAACGGCATTGGTGAGCCGAACGCAAGGTTGTGAAGGCGAGCAGCCTCGCGTGCGCCCAGTCGGTAGCTGATCATCACGTCACCGCCATACTCTTCCAGCCCCAGAAAGTCGACCCAGATGCGCCGGACGAAGCGCTCGGGGTCGGACTCGATCAGGCACCCTATGAGCTCCATCTTGGTCATCGTCGGCATGCCCTTCTTGTACACCGCGTAGAGCTCCTCGATCTCGTCCATCGTGTAAAGGATGTCGGCGACAGTAGCGAGAATCGTGTCCATTGCTCCGGTCGAGGGAGTGCACAGCGCACTTTGCTGTCTGTACAGGCTCCTCGCCTGATCGTCAACTTGATCGTCATCGCTTAGCCACGCAAGCAACGCGGCCTCATCGCCTCGGCTCAGGGCAGAATGAAGCCAGTCAGGAGCGTCGTCTTCTTGCCCGCCTGCTCCGCGCTGTGAGGAGACCTTTCCGCCCATCGGCTAGCGCACGCGCGCGGCGACGAGAGGAAACGGATTGCGCTCGTCTTATTGAGCGCCTCAAGGGAAGCCGCCACTAGGACCCTTGATGCTATCAAATCGCGCGCCCGCACCAAGCAAGGAATGCCGCGGCGCCCGATCGCCTTTGCGCTGCCTTGATTTGAGCGCCTTCGTTGTAGCACGTACCTCCGTCTACACGGCGGACCCGACCTCCTGACGTACCATCGTCTACACGGCGGACCCGACCTCCTGCCGGGGAGCTCGCCACCTCGCCCTGTAGGTAGAAAGGTGAAGAACAGCCAGGCTCGGACTGGACACCAACGCGGTATGGGTGGACGCAAGACAGATGATGACGACACGCACGAGCGACACACAGACACAAACAGGCTCACAAGACACACAGCCAGCTGGCTGGCACACACCCTGAGTTGGCGTACACATAACTCAAGGCCACATCCTCCCTGTCGCCCCCCCCAGCACTCCACGGTGCCAAGAGAACAAACAAGGGCACAACAAACAACACACAACAGGAAGTGACATGCGAGGCACGGACACTAGGATTGATTGATTGATGGGAAGGCGAAACACAGTCCGACCACAAAACTGCTTCACTCTCAAAAAGAAGAGGCGCGTGAGCCGGACTTGTGAGCCGGACCACCCCCTCTTGTACCCTGCGTTGTTGAGCCAGGAGCCCAGGACTCAACATACTCGGGCTGTCGCCGTCCCAAACTGTCACTCCCCTCTCTCCCGGCCGGGGTGGGGCGCGCGCGGCGGCGGCGGGTGTGCGGCGAGTGTGCGGGATGTCTGTGGGCCCGAGAGCGATATGCCATGTCCGCCTTGCGTTGTTTCATTACTCGAAGGCTAAGCTCAAAAAAGAAGGACGCGGTCTTTATGAGCGTCGGGCGCCACAAAACGCTGCACAACGCCAGCCCAGTGGGGGGGGCCGCGGTGCTGTAATCGCGCTGCAGCACACTTCCCAGCACCATGCGCGAGCTTGTAGTACGCGAGGCTCTCGCGGAGGCAGGCATAAAGCGGCGGCGCTCCTCCGGCGGCGAGCCGGCGACCCGCCTCTCGGCGCACCTGTTGGAGCTCTTTGAGGAGATCGATTGCGACCCGGCCGTCTGTCGTATCTCCGCGGAGGAGCTGCGGCGCGGCCTAGAGCGGCTCGGCCTGCCCTGCTCGCCCAACCTCGTCGATGAGATCTTTGACCTCGCCGACGCGAACGCCGACGGGCTACTCGACTACGGCGACCTTCTCGTGTACGCGACGGAGAGGGAGGCGCAGGTGGCGCGCACGTTTGCGCGCATCGCGCGCGACGGCCGGATCCGGCGCGGCGAGCTCCAGCAGGCGCTCGGCGACCTTGGCCTGCGCGTGAGCGCGGAGCAGGCGCAATCCTCAGCCTCTCTCCTCCTCCCTCCCTCCCTCCCTCCCTCCCTCCCTCCCTCCCTCTCTCCCTCCCTCCCTCTCTCCCTCTCTCCCACCCTCTCTCCCTCGCCCCCCTCCCGATAGCAGCAGTTCTGTTTCAGCGCCGTTCTTCTTTGACTCGCTCAGGCGCAGTCCTTCTTCGACGCGCTCGACCGCAACGGGAGCGGCACGGTTACCCTGGACGAGTTTGAGCAGTTCTGCTGGCTGCTGCCTCGCGTCGACGCGCGCGCCGCCTTCGAGAGCTGGCAGAAGCACGTGCCGCTCGACACGGGGCAGGAGCCCGGGCTACGCCTCGTCGTTCATGATCAAGTAGCTATTCAGTAGTGAATTCATTCATTGATTACTTACTGCGGCAGGAGCCGGGTCTCGGCCTCGTCGCCGAGAAGCCGCTCGCCGACGGCAGCGGCGGCAGCACGCCAGCCTCTCCGGCGCCGCCGTCGGTGGTGCTCGCGGCGGGCGCTGTGGCCGGCGTAGTCTCGAGGACGGCCACGGCGCCGCTCGACCGGCTCAAGGTGCTGATGCAGGTTGGGTCGCACGAAGTCGCTTCCGTCGACGGGTCGGTGCGCAAGCTCGGCCCGGTGGCGATGATTGAGCGGCGCGCGGCAGCAAGCGGCGTGCTGGCGGGCCTGCGCGCCATCTACGCGGCCGGCGGCGTGCCCGCCTTCTTCCAGGGCAACTTGGCAAATGTGGTCAAGATCGTGCCTGAGTCCGCCCTCAAGTTTTGGGTGTACGACTGGGTCAAGCGGCTCAGTGCGAGGGACTACTCGCGCCCTACCGCAAGCGAACGGCTCCTTGCGGGCGCAGCTGCCGGCGCGGCGTCCTGCACTGCCATCTACCCCCTCGAGGTAGTCAAGACGCGGATGGCAATCGCTCGGGCCGGGGAGTATGAGGGGATCGGCCACTGCCTCCAGCGCACCGCGAGGGCGGAAGGGCTGCGCGCGCTCTACAAGGGACTTCCGGCCTCACTCGCAGGCATCATCCCCTTCTCCGCCGTCGACCTCGCCCTCTTCAACACGCTCAAGGAGTGGCTTGCGCGCTACCGCCGCCGAGAACCGGACGTGCTCACTCTCCTCGGCTGCGGCGCCCTCTCGTCGACGGTCGCTCAGCTCGCCACCTACCCTCTCGCGCTGGCGAAGACGCGCCTGCAGGCGGCGGGCATGCCCGGCTACCCGCAGAGGTATAACGGCCTCGCCGACTGCCTACGCCAGACGTACTCAGACCGCGAGGGTGGCGGCGTCCGCGCGCTCTACCGCGGCATCCTGCCAAACATGCTCAAGGCGGTGCCCGCGATCTCGATCTCGTACGTCGTCTTCGAGACGAGCAAAAAGGCGATGCTCTCGCGGATCGACGACCAGCGGAGAGCAGAGCCGCGCTAGCCGCCCGCGCTAGCCGCCCGCGCTTGCCGCCTTGCGCCGGGATGTGTGGGCTAGATCGCTGATCGGTCCATATAGGGCAGGGTCGCTGCCAAAAGCCCGATTTTACCTATCGCTGCCAAAAGCCCGATTTTACCTTAGACCAGCACACAGAGTATTTCAGTCAGCCCTTTTCACCCCGCGCGTGCGACGCGCTCGCACCGTCGAGGGCGCCCTTCACCGCCTCAAAGCATACAAAGCTGATGGCGACCGAGGGAATTACCTTCACAATGTTGACCGTCAGGCCGGCGTAGAGCCCCCGCACGATGCCATCGCGCCGCCCGATCCCGACCAGAGCCTCGAGCATGCCCCCGTACCGCACGCCGCTGTGCTTCACCTTGACGTCTTGCACCTGCAGCACCCTTCGCACCGTGTCGAGCGGGTACGCCACTGTCTGGCCACACGCCCCCGCAAAGCCGCCGGCGCAAAGCTTGCCGACAACGGTCGGCTCTCCCCTCTCATTGCGCGGCATGTGCGGTCGCAGCGTGTCGTACACGGCGAAATCAATGCCCACATACGGCACGATGCCAATCAGCGACGGCAGCAGGCCGCGAAACAGGGCCGCTGGCCCCTCGTCGCGGGCCACAGTGACGATGGCGGCGACGATACCGTTGTGGTACCGCCCCGCCATGTCGGTCGATATGCGTGCGCGCACCATGTCGAGCGGATAGGTGAGCAGCTGCGCAATCGCACCCGCGAGCCCGCCCGCAACGAGCCGCTCCTGCGGCAGGAGCTCGCCCCGTGCGCCCCGTTCGCCAAAGAGCCGCGTCTTTAGGTCGGCATAGGCGCCAAACTGGATGGCGGACGAGGGGAAGACCCGCACACAATTGACGGTGTTGCCCTTGTAGAGGCCCAGCATGCCCTCTGTCCGCCAGAGCTCCCGGAGCGAGCGAGCTAGCGATGTGTGGTGTGGTGTCTGGCCCTGCGCAGAGAGACCCTGCACCTGCAGCAGGATCTTGACGCGCTCTAGCGGCGCCACGGCTGTCCGGCTGACGACGCCAGCAACCCCACCAGCTATCAGCGTGCGCACAGCGGGGCTGGCGATGAATGCCTCCGCACCCACCTCGGCCGATTCAAGCGCGGCAGCCTCCACAGAGTCTCTGCGGCCGATGGTGGTGCGCCGAGCAGGTGGCTCTTTGGATTGCATTGCGATATGGCGTCGCCTGACGCCAGCGACTCTGCACCACCTGTCGAACACGGACCACTCCGACGGACGACCCCGCGTCGGGAGTTGCACCACCTCCGACACCGACCACTCCGACGCGCAACTTCTTCAACTCCGGCCGACCGACGGTCGTTCGACGCCAAAACCTTCGATGTTATGAACAAACGCAAGGCGGACATGGCAGATCGCTCTCGGGCTCACAGACATCCCTCACACCCGCCGCACGCCCGCCGCCCCCGCGCGCGCCCCACCCCGGCCGGGAGAAAGGGGAGTGACAGTTTGGGACTCGCAAGCCCGAGTATGTTGAGTCCTGGCTCAACAACGCAGATAACAAGAGGGGGTGGTCCGGCTCACAGGTCCGGCTCACGCGCCTCGAGCTCGCCATCTACCGCACTGAACACTTCCGCCCCTCCAGAACCGCGCGATCTCGGGCGATCTCGGGCCGCGCCGCGCGATCTCGGGCGATCTCGCGCTATCTCGGAGCTCCACGCCACGCCGCCCCCCCCCCCCCACCCCCCACCCCACCTCACCCACCGCCGCGCCGCGCTATCTCGGGCGATCTCGGAGCGTCGCTCGCGCGGCGTCACACCTGCTCAAAAAATTTTTTCTTTGAAAAAGAATTCTTCGACCGCATCTTTTTGGCCCATCTCCTTCCCACGTAGGCGGGGCGGCGGTCGCGGGGTGCGGGGTGCGGTGCGGTGTCAGTACCAGGTGCAACATTGAGAATTCTTGCCTTGCCCTTGGAAGCGCTTGCACATTCCGCAAGTCCTTTGAGAGCATTGCTCGCGCCGACGCCTCGCCCCAGGCGCTCCGCGACCTCGCGTGGCTCCAGGCACAGCTGCCGACCGAGATGGGCGGGTGCAACATCGATACCGCCTTCTCGCGAGCCGACAGCGACTTCTCCATGTCGCTCCTCAAGAACTGGCGCACCCTCGTCGCCCACAACCCCGACTTCGCCCTCGACGAGGCAGGTGCGTCCAAGTACCCCGCCATCGCCGCAGCTATCGCCACCTACGAGTCCGCCCTCTCGGACTGGAAGGAGGTGTGCGAGAAGCGCACCGCCCGCGACAAAAACAAGTACTACACCGTCCGCGGCGGCTACCTGACTGAGTTCTACCCCAAGAGCGTCCCGCTCCCCGAGCCCGAGTCCCTTCCAGCTACCGACGCGATTCTCAATGGCACTTGCAAATCCACGTACCCGCGGCCGCGGGCGCTCGCTGCCATCAAGAATCACAAGGACTGGTTCGCGCACCAGGAGCTCGTCAAGGCGCGGGATGTACACGTCAAGAACTACCCGTCCCTATGACGATCGGCCGTCGATCCCGAAGGGTCGTCGGTTGAGCTAGGGAGCCTGGCGATGGACGCCACCGCGACCCCTCGTGGCATCTCTCTCGCCGTCGGCGAGCTGGGGGCTCGCGGACGGCCGACTTTCTATATGACCAGTAGGACAGCCGTGAGTGTGAATCAGATAAGGAGTTTGCGTCCGTCCACCGTCTTCGTGGACGTCTGTCCTCGTGACACCCACACCCCACACGGCCTGTCTTGCTTAGCGCCGTCAACAACCGCGAAGCCGCGCGCCTCGTCTCCGCCTCATTAACAACGCCTTTCGCCGGCAAGGCCTTCGATGTCCGTGTCGACGGTACGTACGCTACCGCCCTCTCCTCCGACACCCTCCAGGACGAGCTCCAGCGGAAGCTCGGCCTTTGGCTCTCCGCGGCGCTTCCCACCCTTCGGGTCGCGCTCGAGCGGGGCATGCCAGTCGATTTCTTCGGCGACTACCTTTACAACAAGGCCCACCACCGGCGGCCCCACGACGGCGTCCTCGCCGCCTGAGCGGACGCGATGCGCGCCCCGGCCAACGCGCCGGTCGTGCACGGCGACAAGGAGAAACCAGAGCTCACCCGGCAGTACAATGAGGGGTACAAGACTGACCTCGCAGAACCCCACGCTGGCCCGGGAGGATGCGATGAAGTAAATGAGATCAAGCTCTGGACGCCCCTCCTCAAGACCTCCTCGACGGGCGTTGGCAACGCCTCGAGTGGCGGCACGCCCGCCTCCGTCGGCCACTCCTACGCCTTCGGCAACACCGAGGAGAAGGCCCGCCGCCTGAACATGGGCTGCAAGGCGCGCGGGCAGCCCAGCCAACCCTTCTCCCACAAGACCGGCCACGGCTACGTCAAGGCGCATCGCGGTTTCTACCACGACGCGATCTTTGTCAAGCGCAACAACTTCAACCTGCTGCTCCACGAGACGTTCGGCGGCGGCTTCTCGCCCACCGCCGTTCTCAAGCTGCGCCGCCTCGCGCGCAAAGTCGCGCGCGGCAGCGTTGACCGCACGGCCTACTCGCCCAAGTACTCGCTTTCTTTTATGTCCCACCATGCAGAGCGCATCTCTCTCTCTGTTGTGCGAGGCGTGAACCGCGCCATTCGCTCTCACCTGGCAACCCTGTCTGCACGTCTCGCGCGCGCGTGAACAGGGCTCCAGGCCCCAAATTACGTGTGAGTGTTAGAGTTGTTTGGTATTGCTAAAAATCTCTCTCACATTCCCACATCTGTGGAGTACATGACGCGGTACACGCCCCGCTCCTTCAGCCAGATCCATGGCACCAACTCAACGAACTGGTAAGCTATGCTCACAAAAAAGTCTCCTGGTTGAACGGATGTGTTCAGCTCAATCAAGCACTCGGACCGACCAGTTAGCCGCTGTAAAACCAACAGACACTGCACTCCAAGTGCTCCAAGACAGGGTGCGCGTGGCTGCCATACAAGGAGACGAGCACACTCGGCCTACCGCCGCTGCAACCAATGGATGCCGGAGAGGGTGACGAGCATGAAGATGGAGAGGAAAGTGGTGGAGAGGAAAGTGGTGGAGAGGACGAGGACGAAGGAGAGGAGGACGGCGTTGTCGCAGCATCATGACGTTAATGTTGTCAGAGGCGAGAGGGTCGCGAGGGAGCGCGTCATCTTATCTGTAGTCGGTCTGAGTCGAGTCCTCCCTTTTGCGTAGCAACACCCATATCGCATTTGAGAAAGAGCCAATGGCCGACGCTTGCGCGTGCCTCGCCTCCCACACTCTAGGGGGTTTGGGGGAGCGAGAAGCGTCCCCCATGAGAGATAGATAGGCCGACCGTCCACGTCCACGTCCATCACTTCACTCTGGCGCTCTCTTCTTTTAAAACGCAGCTTTTTTTTTTGCCCGCCCGAAAATCCGAGCGCCTGACCCGTGAGACCCTGTACACCTTTCAGCCTGTAGTGTGTGCGGAAAATAGCGTTATACACATCCACTGGGACGAGTCAATTCATTCACTAGAATGACTAGAAGGGGCACCCATGTGGTGCGGTGATCGTACCCGGGCTTCTATGACGGACATGACTAACTGCTAGGCGTCCTCGTTGAGCGCCACGACCAGATTGGCCTGCCACTCATCCAGGATAGTCGCATTGGTCATTCCGTCCCGCGGCACATCCAAGTCCACAAAAGCTGGTGACGTCCACGCGTCGAGCGCTGCGTCATCACCCTTGGCTACGCCCACAATGACATCATGGACTTGCCCGACGATCACCTCAAATCCGTGACGCACACCTGGCAGTTTGTAGACCTTGACCGTGCTCTTCCAACGCTCGCAGACAGACAGGCTCTCCGAATGGACCGTCCCGTCGCCATCTCCGATTTCGACCGAAGCTCCGATGTCTGCGAAGACCCCCCCTGCGGGGAAAGTGAGGTGGGAAAAGGTTCGCACGTTATGGCTGTAAATGCAGTGCGTCGGGACACCAGGATCTTCGGTCGTCCCGACGGACAAGGCATATTTCATCCGCTCCGCCTCGTCGTGCATGAGCAGCCTCCTGAACAGAGATGGCAGACCGGAAGCTTTGATCTCTTCTGGCTGCGCCCATGGCCCATGTTGGAGCGTGACGTAGCTTCTGTCGGGTATGGAGTCGTCCACGCCCGGCGACATCCAGTACAAGGATGGAAACTCGCGGAGGAGCCGCGTGATATCCGTGACGAGCCAATCCATGAGCAGCTCCTTCAGTACAGCCCCAAACCCATCCACGACTTTCATCACAAATTGTTCCTCGCTCACCTGCTCGGCCAAAGGTGGGTCGCACAAGGGGCACGTGAACTTGGCAGCGCCTGGCTGGCCCGGGGACGCGAAATCAAAGACAACGCCGCCCATCAGTGCGGATAGGGCATTAACTGCGCCATTGAACGGGCCTGCGACCGGCACGAAGGCGTGCACGTTCTTTTGCACCCAACTCTTGCCCCCGCGCTTTGCGTTTGCCCATTTCAGGAACGCGTGCGTGAACGGAGCCGCCATCGAAACACCAGTCAGCACAACCGGCTGACCATTCCTCGACACCGCGTCTGAGATTGTCCTGAAGAAGCGAGGAAAGGCTTCTTGCTCCCAGTCGGCTACGCTCAACCGCCAGTCGTAGCCCATCGGGAGGATATCGACGTCTCTGACAAACCCTTCGGATTCCAGCCGTTGGGTTAGGTTGCCGTACACATCAATTCCGAAAAACGTCAAGCCATCCCAACCCTCGGCAACCCTCACCTGGACATGCTCCGGAGACTTGGTGCGGTTCGTCGTAGGGTCGAAGGTGAGTCCCAGCTGCGCGTGGGAGCTGTGCAACGCACACGCTGCGGCAAACTTGTCCAAGTTCACCCACGCCGTCGTCCACGTTGGCGTCCACGGACTGCACGGGTTGAGCCATCGCGCATCGTTGACTTGCAGCGTCTGTCCTAGCAGTGGCCCTACGAGCACCACTGGGTGGCGAACGCTGCTGTCCCTTGTCGTGCCGGCGGGCTGGCGCTCGGCGACGAAGGCAAGCCGGTCGGTGTCGCGCTTGGCGAAGGAGCCGTGGCGAAGTGTCGCGCCGAGCGCGAGAAGGGCGACGCCGAGCACGAACAGTTGGACCGTCGACGGAAACTGGCGGGATCGCAGCGGTGGGTCCAGCATCAGCCGCTACGAAGGAAAGCACGAGCGCCGAAGGTCAGCGCTCAGCGCGGCGCCCACGCCGCCGCGTGGGGCCCAAGGCCGCCCGCCTAAATTCGAGAGAAAAAGAATTTAAACAGCACACATGTCAGTTCGACGTGTGAATAGCCTCGAGCAATTAATAATTAGATGAGGACGTGTCAGTTCGACGACGACGTGTGAATAGCCACGACCAATTAATAATTAGATGAGGACATGTCAATCCGACGACGACGCGTGAATAGCCTCGAGCAATTAATAATTAGATGAGGACCTGTCAGTTCGACGTGTCAGTTCGACGTGTGAATAGCCTCGAGCAATTAACAATTAGATGAGGACATGTCAATCCGAGTGTCGTGCGAGGGAGTTTGCTTGTAAAATTCTTTTCCATTCAAAGAATTTTGAAGTGCCCCAAACCGTCCCAGATTGTGTACCCCGCCGCCTTTGACAAATGCTCACCGCGCTGACCGCTACAGCAGCGCCGGCGCCACGCCGCCTCGAGGCTTACGCTTAAGGTCTCCGGGAGCTCCGCGTGCCGGGTTGTAGTACAATACAAGAAAATGGCCGAGATTCCGAAATTCTTGTTCTCAGCGCCGATCCATCTGGTTAAATTCTTTTTCTCGCGATGACTGCCCTCGGCGCCGCTCGCGCCGCCTCGCCTCCTCCTCCACCGCCTCGCCTCACACACCGCCGCCCGCCCGCCTCCTCGACCTGCCCTCGGAGCTCCTCGAGCGCGTCCTCTCTCGCTGCGACAGCCCCCTCGAAATCGCCCGCGTCGCGGCTGTCTCGCTCCTCTTTCACGCCTCGCTTGCGGAGGAGGGCATCCGCTTGTGGGCGCAGCTGCGCGGCTTCGAGCTGCCGGCGCTGCCAGAGGGCGAGAGCTGCGCCGTGCGGTGGGTGTGCTTCGCGGCGCTGCTGCGCGAGTCCAACCCGCCGGCGAGGCTTGCGGCGGGCGCACGGCACAGCATCTTCATCGACGGCGAGGGGCGGCTCTCGTCGTGCGGCAAGGCTGAGAGCTGGCAGCCAGGCCTCCTCGGCCACGGCGAGGGCGTGACGCGGCTCAACACGCCGACCCGCCTCCCTTCTCCGCTGGGCGGCGAGCGTGCCGTGAGCGTGGCGGCTGGAGCATACCACAGCCTCGCCCTCGCCGCTGACGGCAGTGTCTGGAGCTGGGGCGATGGTCTCCACGGCCGGCTTGGCCACGGCTATGCGGCCCAGTGGCAGCCGAAGAAGATCGAGGCATTTGCTGGCCAGCGCGTCGTCGCTGTGTCGGCTGGAGGCGAACACAGCCTCGCCCTCTCCGCCGACGGTGCTGTCTGGAGCTGGGGTTGGGGAGGCTTTGGCCGGTTGGGCCACGGCGACGACGAGCAGCGCCAGCCGCTGCCGAAGAAGGTCGAGGCCTTGATTGGCCAGCGCGTCGTTGCTGTGTCGGCGGGAGGTCTGCACAGCTTCGCCATCACCGCCGACGGTGCCGTCTGGAGCTGGGGCTGCGGTCTCCACGGCCAGTTGGGCCACGGCGACCAGCAGAACCAGCTGCTGCCCAAGAAGATCGAGGCCTTTGCTGACCAGCGAGTCGTCGCTGTGTCGGCTGGAGCCTACCACAGCCTCGCCCTCACCGCCGACGGCGCCGTCTGGAGCTGGGGCTGGGGCGACGACGGCGATACGCGCTTTGGCAAGTTGGGCCACGGCGACCAGCAGAACCAGCTGCTGCCGAAGAAGGTCGAGGCCTTGGCTGGCCAGCGCGTCGTCGCTGTGTCTGCTGGAGGCGACCACAGCCTCGCCCTCGCCGCCAACGGCGCCGTCTGGAGCTGCGGCGATGGAGCTTTTGGCCAGCTGGGCCACGGTGATGAGCAGCGCCAGCTGCAGCCCAAGAAGGTCGAGGCCTTTGCTGGCCGGCGCGTCCTCGCTGTGTCGGCTTCGATCGGCGGCCATAGCCTCGCCCTCATGGCCGACGGCGATGACTTTTTTGCCTGGGGCGAGGGCGAGCACGGCTGCCTAGGCTACGGAGAGGACCTGTCAAACCAGCTGCTGCCCAAGAAGATCGAGGCGTGGGCGCCGGCGCAGGAATGAGGTCAATGATGGCAAAAAGAAAACGCGCGCGCGTGACTGAATTGCAACAATGTGTGAGTGTTACAGTTGTTTGGTATTGGCTATTGCGGATCTTACCCCACCTGTGTACGATATTGCTAAAAATCTCTCTCAATTGGGTGCGGTCCGCTCTGCTTGGCCGCTCGTCGTAGTACATCCATTGACAACGCAATGCTCCAGCCAGGGGGGGGGTGGGGCTGGGATCCTCCCTACCTCGAACAAACTCACCCAATCGTTTCATTGCCAAAAAAGGCGCCCGCCAATTGCGGCGGGCGACGGAGAAACCGGGGGCAGCCTCGAGGCCAACAGATATGGCGCCCACGAAACCCGCCGCACCTCAGCCCAACCCGCAGTACGTGAAGAAGCTTCGGCTGCACCACCAGCGTACGGGCGAGACCAAGCTGCCCGTGCCCGCCGTCGGCGACGACAGGGGCGGCAGCTTCATTACCGCCGCGCCTTGCTGGCCGTGCTCGACCAACAAGACGCATCCGGAGGAGGAGGCCAAGGGCCGCGGCCTCTTCACCCGCTTTTACGGACCGGTCCGCGGCGATTGGTCGCAGGTTGGAGAGACCATTGGCGGCGCCGTCTGCGCCGACGGCTTCGGCAACAGCATCGCCATGAGCGCGGACGGCCAGCGCTGCGTCGTCGGCACCCAGGGCAAGGTGCGCGTGCTCCAGCTCAAGGACGGCGACTGGTGCGAGCTGGGCAATGAGCTCACAGGGCCCGGGGAGTACGGGCGCAGCGTCGCCCTCAACGGCGACGGCTCGATCCTGGCCATCGGCGCACCGAGCACTGAGGGCGGCAACGCCAACGAGACGGCCGGCGCGGTCTATGTCTACAAGCTCGCCGAGTCCAACGAGTGGGAGCAGGTCGCCGAGCTTCAGCCGCAGCAGGCGGGCGCCAAGACGAAGCGCAAGTCACGGACCACCGTCGTGGAAGCCCTCAACGCCTCCTTTGGCTTCAGCGTCTCGCTCAGCAGCGATGGCAAGCGCCTCGCCGCCTCCAGCCCCGATGAGGGCGGCGGCGTCGTGCGCATCTACGAAGAAGTGGAGCGCGTGTGGTCGATCGCGACGACGCTCGATGGGGCTGGAGAGCCCTTCGATGTCGTCCATGGAGACCGTTTCGGCCACCAGGTCGCCCTCTCCGCCGACGGCGACGTCCTCGCCGCTGGCGCGCCCATGCACGGCGACGGCGCCGGCATGGTGGCGGTGTACGAGCGCGTGTGCTCCGCCGACGAGGGGGAGGGGAAGCCCGAGTGGACGCCCAAGGGCGAGGGCATCTTTGGCCGCGTGCAAACCGCCATCGCCGACCCGTGCAACCCATACGACAAGACGACCATCGTCGACAACCTCGGCTGGAGCGTCGCCCTCTCTGGCAACGGCTCGCGCCTCGCCGCCGGCGCACCGAACGCGGTGTCGGTCTTTGAGGAGTGTGGGGAAGTCTACAAGGCGACGCCCGCTTGGGCTGCGGAGAACCAAACCTTTGACGGCATCGCGACGGCCGGGTACGTCGAAGTGCTTGAGATGGAGCGCGACCAGTGGCGCCGGGTGGGCGGCCTGATTATCGGCGACGGCTCTGCCGACAACGTCCAGGTGGGCACCTCGGTCGCCCTGAGCGACGACGGCGAGATCGTCGCCGTTGGCGCGCCGAACAACGGGCCGACCGGCAGCCCCATCAACGGCACGCGCGCGGCGGCGATGGCGTACAAGGTGCAGGACAGGGCACCACCGACCACCAGCCGCATCGGCCGGGCGGGCCCGACCTCGGCCGAGCCCAACATCTGCAAGCGGGCTGCCATCTGGCTGCAAGACCACGTCTTCTGGATCTGGGCTGGCGGCGAGTACGGCGAGTACGGCCTTCTATCGGCGCGTGCTGCGTGCCGACAGCGTCCCAGACTCTCCCGCACCTCTGAACCCCCCCCCCCCCCCAGGCCAACCTCGCGCCGGCCGGCAAGGAGGTTGCCTTCACCTCGCTGCTCGCGCCGGGCAGCGGGCTGTGGCGGGGCGCCTTCTTCCGCAACGTCGGCGGCGAGTACGCGGATGCCGAGCCGAACCAGTTCGGCAAGGTTTGCGACACGCTGGGCAAGTACGTCGGCTCGGTCAAGGTTTTCGGGGTGCGTCTGCCGAGAGGGCACCGCCAGCCCGAGTGCGCGGCACGTGACTCACACCCCTCTCTCAATCCCGTGTAGGCCTGCGGCCGGAACAACGGCCTCGTCGAGGTTCAGGCCGGGCCTAAGTGCTGGCCGATTGCCTACGTGGCGGTGATGAAGCCCGGCTTTGGCCTCGCATACGTGCAGGCCGGCGGCAAGGTGGAGGAGCCTCCGACGTTCCCCAAGGGCCCCCTCACCCCGCCGCCGGACCCGCCCCCGCCTCCGCCTCCGCCTCCGCCTCCGCCTCCGCCTCCGCCTCCGCCTCCGCCTCCGCCTCCGCCTCCACCTCCGCCGCCGCCACCGCCTCCGCCACCGCCTCCGCCACCGCCTCCGCCACCGCCTCCGCCACCGCCTCCGCCGCCTCCGATGCGCAACAAGCTTTGGATGCAGATGGGCAAGCAGGAGGGAATCCACTCGACCGACGCCTCGCGCTGGCGCTGGGGTGGCAGCGTTAGCCTCAGCGGCGACGGCATGTCGCTGCTGGTCGGCACCGCCGGCGACGCCGCCGCCCCCGAGGCCGCGTCGTTCAAGTACACGCCGCCTTGAGGAACCACTATCAGATCGGTGGCCGTGCATCCTTGCGCCGCGCGGGGATCCGGGCATATACATGAGATGACGAGAGCTGCGCCGAGCGTATGCGGACATCGCCGGATGGCGAGGCGCTGGCCGCTGCTCTACAGGTGTGCAACGTGGTTCTGTTTGGCTCGGCCGCCATGGGAGGGGGGGGGGGGGTCGCGTGTCGCGGACCGCGGTGCTTGGGCTCAAGCTCTTGCTCCCTCGCCCCCCCGGGCCCTGTCCCGCTGCGACGTGCGAGCGTCGAACGAGCGCTGTGGCGGCCTGGTGCCACGTGTGCGCGCACACGCACGCACGTCTCCACCCCTGGGCAACGCACGTGGACTCGTGGACGTGCGTAATGTGGCGGCTATCTCGGGAGATTATCTGGCGGGCCTCATGGTCCTCCCCCCGTAGTCGGGCCGCGGCTCAGGGCTCTTCTGATATATAAATCACAGTGTGTCGTGTGTGCGAAGGCCGGACTCAATCTCTGATATATGAAGAGGGACACGGACATACGCCAGACAGTGGCGACCAGTGGGCCCAAGGACTCTCACGCCCCCCCCCTTTGGGAGGTTCCCCGGAGGGAGGTTCGTGTCATGAGAGAAGATACACTCCTCCGTGTATCTAGACGGGCGGAAGATACACTGAAGATACACTTATGCGAAGATACACGGCCCGGCCCAAACGAAGAGGTGTATCTTCATACGAAGATACACCGCGGCCCAAACGAAGAGGTGTATCTTGACGGACCGCGTTCATAGTGAAGATACACGTAAGCGGGAGCGGCAGTTGCTCATGCCGCTGGAGGGGCTCGGCCCGCCCTTTGAGGGCCCCAATGGCATCATGTTCCGCGCCGGCTTCTGGAAGGGCAAGCCCGTGGTTCTCCGCATGTCGTCCGCGTCCAGCACCGGCTACGAGAACGTGTTCAAGCAGGGCGGCAGCAAGAAGCGCAACCGTCCCTATGTCGCCAAGTTCAAGCGGGTCGGCGAGAAGACTCAGCGCCACCTGCCCGACTCGAACAGCGCGACAGCCGAGGAGGCGGCCGCCAAGCTGGCCTACCACCACGAGTACGGGTCGGAGCTGCCGCCGCCTGCAGCTCGCCAGCCTCGCCGCTCCCCGGAGGTGCGCTCCTGAGCCCGCACCCATCCTGGCTGCGCTCAGTCCTCCTTCCCTGGGCTGTAGGAGATGGCGGCAGAGCGGGCGGTCAAGGAGGCGCGCAAGCAGGCCAGGCGGCCGCAGAGGCCGCCGCTCACGCCCGCGCCGGCGCAGCCTCCACAGTCTCCTCTCACGGGTCCCGGCGTGCCGTGTGTGCCGGTAGTCCCTCTCCCCATGGGCTACCGCCCCCTCCCCTCGGAGCCAGTCATCCCTGTGGGCCCTGTGGGTGAGCCCCAGCCAGGCCAGTGCCAGCACTCGTGGGACCCGGCCACCTGCGCCCTGTGCAACTGGTCCGCCTGGGGCGCCCGGCGCTGAGATGTACACTCAAGATACACTCGAAGATACACTTCGAAGATACACCGGTGGAATGTTATAAAGTGTATCTTTGAAAATGTATAGTCAAGTGTATCTTTGGCTATCACTCGAACTTTGGACAAGGGAATCGCCAGAAGAGGGGGGCGTGAGAGTCCTTGAGTGGGCCCTCCATGGGGCGACAACCGACACTCAAGCGCGAGCGCCGAGCCACCAAGACAGTTGTAGACACCGCGTCCCGTGGGCACGCGGCTGCGTGCCGCCGCGGCGTGCCGAGAGAGCCGGCAGGGGCTCCAACAGCAGGGGAGGGAGGGAGGGCGGCGGGGAGGCGGCGTGCGGCGTGGGGCGCGCCCCACGCCGCGCGCGTTGCGCGCCGACTCACTTTGGCGCGTAGGGCAAGTCGTGCGCGCCCGCGTCCTCGAGGAACTTTCCGAGCGTTGGGAGCGGCTCCCACTTCGGGTCGTACCTGTGGGGGGGTGTGGGGAGGTGTGGGGAGGTGTGGGGAGGTGTGGGGGAGGTGTGGGGAGGTGTGGGCGAGGTGTGGGGAGGTGTGGGGAGGTGTGGGGAGGTGTGGGGGAGGTGTGGGGAGGTGTGGGGAGGTGTGGGGAGGTGTGGGGAGGTGTGGGGAGGTGTGATGAAAA